TTAAAAAAATCGTCACAAAAAAAGTTATTAATTTTTAACTTTTGAAAAATTCATCACAAAAAAATCACTAATTATAAGTTTTAACGATAATTTATAAAAATCGTGACAAAAAAGTCACTAATTATCTTTTTTTGACAACATATGCAAAAAATCGTCATAAAAAATTACTTTTAGTAACGATTTTATCAAGACTTTTTTTTAATTAAGTCCAACTATTATGACGTGTTGATAGTTTACTCAATTTTTTTCCCCTACCAATGCTATTGTTTAATATCTGGAATAATCTTAGGATGACATCTTAGGATTATGTCCTGTCTAAAGGGCATCTTGGTTTTGGAAATAGGATTAGGAAATATGCCAATAAGTAAAACTATTAGGTTTCATATATTTTTGTTTTAATACTGTGAAATTGTTAGATAAGATTATACACAATAAAAATGGCATAAGTTATGAAAAAAAATAAAAAAATAAAAAAAAATTTACCGTATAATCGGGAGGTGGAATAATTGTCCCAATGGTAGAATTTGATAGACTTTTATAATCAAAGATTAGCAGTTTGATCTAGACTAGCGATTCGGCCAAGTAAACGCTAGATTAGAGGGGTATGGTAGATAAAATGTAAACCACGTGCCTTACATGTCTCTTAGGATCCATTTGTTTTCAAAGTTAGGTTTGGTGAAATTATTAATGTGGAACCGGTATGAAGGGCGGCTATTAGTGTGAGAATTATTACTGAGGGAATTAAAAAAAATTATGTTTATTTGTGATATATTTTAATGAGAGGATTACCTATATGAATTACCATAAATACTTTTTAGTGTTTTTGATATGTTTTAATGTTAAAAATTATATTTTATAAATATTTTTTTGTACTATATTATTTTAATGTGTGTATATATATATATATATATATAATGACATAATACCAACAAAAAAAAAAACACACACACACACACACAATAATACACAACACACAACATGACAAAATAGTCTTTTTTGAAAACTAATCCCATCACTAGTTTTGAAACCTAACCCTTAAAGGCCTTTTACTAATCCCCTCCTCCAAGACCTATCATAGTTTTAAGGGATTATGAATCTCCTTTCGTATTTTGCAAACAAACACAATTAGGCCTCGTTTATTTGGCTCCATAACATGGAGAGGATTAGGAGTATGGTAAGATTAAGGAGATTGTTAGTGCGGTAGTATTAAGTTGGAGATGTAGGTTAAAGAGTGTTTGTTTGTACACTACTGAATTAGTAATACTATAGATAGTATTAATATATAAAATTAATATTTTTTAATTTTAAATATTTTTTAATATTATAATAATTGTTAGTTTTATATTTTTTTAAGTCCACTTAATCTAGAGACACCTAAAAAAATATAAAATTTTGCATAAAAATAATTTAAAAATTCACTAAATATAAAAAAAAAATCATATGCTTTTAGTATTTATAAAAAAAATTAAATATTTCTTTCAAAAATAAATTATTTGAAAAAAAAAATAATATTAAAAATATTTTATTCCATTTTATTTAATATATTAATCCATTAAACCTATCACTAATCCAACCAAGAAGGGGGATTGGTAATCTCTTGGAGTATTAATCACATCACAACCTTCCACAATCAAACACTCTCCATATGACCGTCCCTCACTATTAGTCCAATCCCCTCACTCATGGAGCCAAACAAATATGACTTTATAGTGAATCTCACATTTATCATAATTCAATCCCATCATCTATCACCCAAAACAAATGGGCCCTTAGTCCAATCCCTCTCTAATTCTTTCCAACAAACATAACCAAAACCTAATAGTAGTATATGTTGATAGTTATGTTTTGTATTTATAAATTTAGTCAAAATTAAATAAGTTTCATATCACTTAATTTTTTTTTCTTTTTATCTTACATTTTAAGAATCACTTAAATTTTAAGTGATATTAATTATGATAATTAAATTGATATAATTAATTTTTATTTAATATATTTAATTTTAAATGTCAAATTAAGTTATCAAATACCAGTGAAAAGTCATTTGAAAAGCAAAGTCATTTGGAAAGGCATTTTACAAGCCGCCTCCTAACCATTACTAAAGGGCAGGACTTTGGGTAGTTTGTTTAACAAAATGGGGAGAACATAGGAAATTAAAAATTATTAAAAAAAAATATCACAGAAATAAAGAGTTAAAAAAATAATAATAATTGTCCATCAAAGTTGGTGAGGAGTCAATTTATAAAGGCATTTCAAAAGCTAAACGTCAAGGCAATCGAAACATCTTTGAAACACTCTGTTTGATTTGGTTTTAAAATTTTATTTTTAAATTAAATTGATAAAAAAATGAAAATAAAAAATACTTAACGTTTTTATATAATTTTATGTTTTGAAAAGCCAAAAATAATTTTTAAAAGTTTTAAAATATTTTTGGAGAAATTAGCAAACATCACTCTCCAACTTTTGATAGTAAGAGAGATTCGATATATTTTTTTCTTATTAGTTAAGGTCTCTCAATAATATTATTAGAGAAATTTAGTTCGTCACTAAGAAATTTTTCTCTGTGAGAAGTTGAAATTTTTCTGTAAAATTTCTTTTTGAAGAGCTAAAATTTCTCTGTCCTGTGTTGAAATTTCTCTTTAAAAATGTTAAAATTTCTCTTTAAAAATGTTAAGTGATCCCAACTACTATGAAAATATTATATATCATTTATCCTATAAAATCTTAATATTATGGACTATAAACTAAAAATCCCATATTTTTTTAATATTTATTTTTATTAAATTAATTTTTACTTTTTAAAAAAATTCTAAAAATAATTTTAAAAATTCAAACCAAACATGACAAGATTTCGTCAAAGTTGGTGAGAATCAATTCCTTACATCCTTCTAATTTATCACCCTTAAATGACCCTTAATGCTATGTCATTGAGATTAAAGACCACATGATAAAATATTTGATAAATCAAAATTTAATAATTATGAGACACAACATTAGAAGTAATTTTTAAAAATAATAAATTAGATATTGTTTTTCTAAAAATAAACAAAAATCAGTTTATAAAATTTTTGTAAATATAAACTGAAAACGTAAACGTTACCAAACACACCCTAAGTGATCCCAACTACTATGAAAATATTATATGTCATTTATCCTGTAAAATCTTAATATTATGGACTATAAACTAAAAATCCCATATTTTTTTAATATTTATTTTTATTAAATTAATTTTTACTTTTTAAAAAAATTCTAAAAATAATTTTAAAAATTCAAACCAAACATGACAAGATTTCGTCAAAGTTGGTGAGAATCAATTCCTTACATCCTTCTAATTTATCACCCTTAAATGACCCTTAATGCTATGTCATTGAGATTAAAGACCACATGATAAAATATTTGATAAATCAAAATTTAATAATTATGAGACACAACATTAGAAGTAATTTTTAAAAATAATAAATTAGATATTTTAAATATTTTTCAGCACCGATAACTTTTTTGAAATGAAAAGACTTGAAAAGTCTCGCTAAATGCTCCCAAAGCTTTTTCGTAGATTAGAGGTGCGTAATTTCCCTTCATCCGCGTCAGAGCAGAGATTATCTAGTTTAGTTTATATTCCATCCTTATTTATTTGTTAATTATTATTATTTTTTAGTATGATTATGTAACTAATTTTTGTTACTTTTTCTTTCATATTTTAAATAAAATAATTAGGGTAGGGCTTCTGTTCAGTCCGGGATCGGACTGGACCGTGCTGTTGGATCCATGGGGGTCCACCACGGGTCCCGTTTTGATAATCTGAACCATTTAATGTGTAGAACTTGTCGAGTATTATATTTTTGTAAAAAAATCACGTTGATCGGATATCGATAGTTATATGATCAAATCAATTTCGTATAAAAAAATTGGACGGTGAACAAATTAACGGTTGACAAAAAACTATTTTGATCACATAACTATCGATATCCGATCAACGTGAGTTTTAACAGACATATAGTACTCGACGAGTTCTACACATTAAACGGTTCAGATTATCAAAATGGAACCCGTGATGGGCTTTCACGAACTCAACAATACGATCCAGTCCGATCCTAGACTGAATAGAAGCCATACCCAAATAATTATGTGTCCTTTTGCTATACAGATGGCATGGCATAAACTTTCAAACTAGTCAAATAATCTCCCGGATTTCTCGGAGATGACGGAGGGAAATGATACTCCACATTGTGTACCTCATTGCGGTTTTGCAAACCCAAATAAAAAACAGAAAATTAGTGAATAGTCCATCTCAAAGGATATAAAACATTAGATTCAAAATAAAATTTTATTTTGGTAATAAAGACATATCAAAGAAATTGTCGGTGTTAGAAAATTAGCCAGAAAAGTTGTCGGTGACTGGCAGCAACAGGCGGTGTTAGTGAAATGTAGAAATGTATGATATTCAACAGATAAGTCATTGAATTAATAACACATGTCACATTTCAATAAATAATTAATTTTGTGAATTTCAACAAGGATACAAATAAATTGATTTCAAAAGATAGATTGATTTCAACAAATAATTATCATTTTACAATCTTTTAGCCAAAAAGATATTAGAGTTTGGGGCCTAATCATCAAAAAGATTCCGAGATGGACTTATGGCCTAAGTGACTAATAAATAAATAATTTAATTGATTTATTAGCACTCTGTTTTTTGTTTTTTTACTTTTTAAATTTGTAATAAAAAAATGAAATAATTTAGAATAAAAAGAAGATCATTAAAGTTTTGAAAAAGTTTGAAAAAAAAATATAACTTTTGTAGCTGTAGGTCAAACACCAAAAAATAATTTTAGAAGGAAGAACTCAAATACCAAAAAAGTAAATTAATTAATTAAAAAAAATTAGTATGTAACCTAGACTTTAGTCTAAGTTTGGGAACTTACCATCTGCACAAAATATTATTATTTTTTTAATTATATTTTTCCATAAGATTACTGATTTATACTATATAAATGAATGAAAGGTAGTTGAGAAGAACCAAATCAAATTCCAACTAGAAGAATATCAACGGCGCCCAAAACGTTTGCAGGTTGGTCTCTCCATCTCTCTATTTTCTTTTAGGACTGGGTACCATAGATTCTATATTTGTAATTTTATTTTATTTTTTTTGGAACAAATGGTTTTATTTTTATAATTCAAACAATTTATTTTGTATAATTTTTTATATATATCATTCATACACAAAATTAAATTGATTAGATATTTAAAACATATTTACTATGTGTAGTTAAAACCTGTTTAGCTATGTGTAGTTAACCTCCCTATTATTTGAAAATAATGACATAACTTTCATGTAATTTGTGAACTAAAATACACGCTAATTTCAGTTAACAAAACATATAAATTTACTTTTATACTATCATTTTCTTCCTCCTCTCTCTATATATCACCTCTATATTCACTTACACAATTATCTTGCTCACCAGTACACTTGCACAACTTCAATTGGAAGTCAATTACTTATGGGTTACCCACTTTATTCAACCAAAAAGACTTGAGTTATCCATGATGTCGTAGATTCACAATCTTTTCGGGGTTTTTTTTTTTTTTTTTTTTTCTCCTTTGGTGGGTTTTGATGTTTTAGAATTATTTTGTTGGGTTTTCATTTTCGGATAGTACTTGTTCTATGAACTATTTTGAAAATTTTCTGCAAAATACATGTTTTTTAGAAAACATCAAAGTTGTTTCCAAAATTTTAAAAATTATTTTCGCATATTCCGGCAGCTCCAGCGTCAATTTGAGAAGACGAAGCTCACCTGTTTTTAAGAGAGTCATCGGAAAACTAGTCTGGTGAAAAATCCACTCTATTCAATCAAAATTCATAACATAATCAAGGTAATTAAACTCACCAACTAGAGATTTAATAAAAATTAAATAAAAAAATCAAACCCATCACCACAGGTTATCAAATCAAGATTAGTCACTCATTGCAAAACAAGTCCAGGTAGCTTAATAAATTATAAATTATAGCGTAATGTTTGGTTGAATAAGTTGTAAAATAATTTTTTACTATGTAATGTATTTTTTGCCTTTATAAGATTTGTGATTTCATTTAAAATACTTTTTTTTTTTTTATTTTTCTTCATTTTATTATATTTTCTTTTCTTTTTCTCATTTTCTTTGCTCATCTTTTTTTTTTCCTTCTCTTCTTTTTGCTGTTAATTTTGTTTAATTTATTAAAATTAATACCAATTAATATTCATGTTCTAATTTATATTAATGTTGTGATTTCATTACATATTATTTTTTTTATATTCATTTTAATTATTTATTTATGTATTTATTATTATTATTATTATTATTATTATTATTAAGTGTAATTTTTTTTTCATTACAATACCAATTAATAATATGAAAATTAATTTATTTATTTATTAATTCATTACAATAATACCAATTAATTCATTTTCTAACCCACCGTCGGTAGCCCCTTCTCTCCAATGTTTTCAAACCCGGATCGGACTGGCTGTTGGACTGGTTGAATCGGGAATCGGGCCTTGTTCTGTTCAATCCCCTAAACCTGGAGTGCGAGCAAAACCGGTGACCCGGTGGTCGATCCAGCAAAATCGGTGACCGGGACCGAGTCGGGAGGGTTGGCCCGGTTTGTTTTGTGTTTTACCTTTGTTTTTTATTCTTTCTTATATATATATAAATATATTTCAAATTTTGACTAAAAATTCTTATTTCAAGAGTCTTCTCTCATAAGAAAGAGTCTCATTGAAAGCTTGAGATGATTATGAAAGTCTATTTATATTTATAGGAAAAGATTTTTCAAAGAGAACTTACAAAATTCTATGTGGGATTCAATCAAATTATTTGAAACATATTGATTGGAGGGAGGGTTAAAAATTTCATTTCTCTCCACAATTAAATCTAGCATTCAATCAATTTGTTTGGTGAGAATGTTTAAAAAATTTAATTTCTTTAAAATAAGTGACTTTTTTTTTTTATCAATTATGACTTTATTAAATATTATTAATAAATACTATGCAACAATTTTTATTTTTATTTGATTGTTTACATATGTTTTTATTTATTTATAATTTATAGTTATATTTTTTAATTATATAATATTAATTATGACGTCGCGGTTCGACCGCTATGACCCGATGGTTGAACCGGTGATCCGTCCACTTGGTCCATTTTCTGGTTCGCTCACCAGTCCGGTTTTGAAAAAATTGCTTCTCACCCACCGCCAACAGCCCCATCTTCTCCTCCTCCTCCTCCTCATCTCACCGTCGGTAGCCCTTTGCAAAAACCTAGCCGCTATTGTGAAGAGAGAGAGCTAGGGTTTTGTCACGACGTCGATCGCGAAGAAGGAGAGAAAGCTAGGGTTTGTCACGCTGTTGATTGCGAAGAGAGGGAGAGAGCTAGGGTTTTGTCACGGAATCATCATCATTAGGCTATCTCATGACGTCGGAGATCGCAAAGAGAGAGAGAGAAAGAGAGCTAGGGTTTTGTCATGCGATCGTCATCGTCAAGCTATCTCGCGACGCTAGAGATCGCGAAAAGAGAGAGAGAGAGAGAGAGAGAGAGAGAGAGAGAGAGAGAAGAAGAAGAAGAAGAAGAAGAAAGAGAGCTTTGGTTCGCCTAAATCACATCCCTTCGCCAGAAATCACCTCTCTGGTTTATGCGAGAGGCAGAAATGAGTGTGTTTGGTTTATATACATCGCACACTAGTAATAACCTGAAATTGTGAGAGGCATTTAAGTCATTTTGCCCCTTAAACTCCAGCTGCGCGCTTAAGCTGAATCCGAAAAACACTTCCTCCTCCTCTCAAAGAATAATCACATTTTTTACTTAATTTAAACAAAGTTGATCAATTGAGCTACACCAAACACACAAAAACCACTTAATTTAACCTAAAAGCTTAAATAAGTTGGATTTAAGCTTTACCAAACACCCACAATCAAGGTAATCAAATCCACCAACCATAATCAAAAATTGAATAAAGAAATCAAACCCACCACCATAAGCGGTCGGGATTTTTTTTTTCCCGAACTAGAAAGTTTTTATTGATTGCTTGCCACTGTTTTGACCTAACAAACTTCATTGATATAGTGGGCAGCCATTAGAGAAAAAATGAAAAAAAAAAAAAAAATTTATCTGTGTAGGTGTGTATATATATATATATATATAGGTTTAGGAAATAATGGCATGTTTTTGTAAATTAAAGATATATAAGAGGTATTTTAGTCTTAAAATAAAGCTTACTCTCTTCATGGGTGTGTGAACCTCACAGCCATTTAACTTGGATGGAAAAGTAGACATAGTCATTTCCTTATGTTAGGGGATAAACCGCAGGGAATGACACCTGAAAATCAACCACACTCATTCTACTTGATTTTGTTTTTAAAATATATTTTATGTTATATTATTTTATTTTTTATAAAAAAAATAAAAAAAACCTAAAAACTAGATTTTGAGAAAAGTGAAAAAAAAAAAAAATCAACAGCACTAGTTCAATTAGTTAGAACTCTTGGACGTTAGTCATTCGAATCTCCTCACTTGCATTCCCGTGTATTTCTTGGGATTTTCTCACCCACTTTGGGAGTTTCTTGTTGTTGATCATGTGTTGTATTTAATCTTATATGAATCAAATAAAAAAAATGTGAAACATTTATGGGGATTTCTCTCGCACCTCTATGTGTTGTATTTGATCTTATATGAATCAAATTAAAAAGAAAAACTTGAAAAAAATCGAAGATATTTATTCATTTCATATGATTTTCGTTTTGTTCAGGTGAAAATATCTTTTTGTTATTTATTTTCATCAAATCAATTCCTATTTTTTGAAATAAAATAAAATAAAAATAGATTGTTAAAACCAGTCGGTGAAATGTATCCACCACCTAGAGCCATGTCATTAAAGGGAAGGGAAGGGAAAGGAAAGGAAAGGTAAACTATTTTTTATTGGATAAATTATGTAAATAGTGCCTATACTTTACATGATGTGTCAATTTGGTCTCTGTAGTTTCAATTTGCTCGATTTTGCTCATTAATTTAACGGATTGTGTCATTTTAATCCAATAAATAATGGTTGTTAAATTAATTTAACGGAAGATCAAATAATGTGTCAATTTGGTCCCTATGGTTTCAATTTTCTCGATTTTGACAGGGACTAAATTCACATATTATGGTAAATACAGAGACCAAATTGACACATTATTTGACTTTCCGTTAAATTAACTTAACAACCGTTATTTATTAGACTAAAATGACACAATCCATTAAATTAAGGGAAAAGATCGAGCAAATTGAAACTATATGAACTAAATTGACACATCGTGTAAAGGACAGGGACTATTTGCATAATTTTTCCTTTTTTATTTTTTTCAACCTTAAGGATATCAAACCAGAGCCCTCTTTCCTTATGATTTTATAAAACTTGTTATTCAATTAGCTAGATATGGTCCAAGTTCTTTTAGGTGTTGTTAACCAAAATGATTTATCATTAGACTTCTTTATAATATCTCCCATTTCTTTCTTATTTTGTTTTTGTTTATTGAAAAAAGTGGACCAGTGAAAAAATATTTTTATTTTCATAATGTAAGTTTTTTGTGTGCATAGTGCAAATCTTTGTGTGCATGGTACAAGTTCTTCCTGTATGAAAGAGTTGCTCAAAAAAAGATTCTATCTATAATGTAATTATTGTTCAACTGTTTCATTGATTTGTAGTTTTTTTCTTGTTTATTTGTTTTTACAATTATATATTAAACAAAAAAATAAATAAAAATAAGAGATTTGTTTGCTATCTCGTGTGATAAAATATGTTTGTAAATATGATGTGCTTTAATTTAAGTTGGGTGGTGGCGAGGGATAGCTATAGACATATAGGGTTTACCCTACAACAATTGGGTTTAAAGTAACTTTACCTAAATATTCCAACTTGATGGGAATTCCATTATACACTTATCTATTTTTTCCTATTTCATATAATTTGATTAGGTATTAGTATATTTACATCAACTCTGATCATATTTTTATAATTATAAAAATTACACCAACTTACACCTACTCATGAAATCAAGTCCGTTCATTTTCACTTACAAAACTTATCGTATATCAAAAATTGTTTGTTGACCTTGAAACATTACACAAAGAAGCCATACAATTACATAATTTCTTCCATTTAGGGACAAGTCCCACGCAATCATGTAACATTCAGAAGCATTAGACAATACTAAAAAACCATCAAATAACTTCCCATCAATTAAGGAGTATAATTGACCTTTATCATTCCCCCGAATCATAACATGACTTGAGCATAAAAACACTTAGCACTCGAGAGGCTAATAGTAGCTAAATAGTTTTTTTAATTTATAATTTGGTGCTAAATCCAAATGGATGTCTATCTTGTTGCCAGATAACCACATGAATCCATTACATTAATAATGGAAAATTTTGGCACATCAAGACATGGAACTACTAGCAGAAATGGCGATGCTTCAATTGATGTGGAGGTACTAGTGAAATCTATCAAGGAGAAGTTAGCTAAGTTATCTTGCCCATCTCCTGATTGTTGTATATATAAAGTTCCCAACAAATTTCGGAACATCAATGTAGAGGCTTATACTCCTTTCAGAGTCTCAATTGGGCCGCTTCACCATGGCAAACAAGGCCTAGAAGACATGGAAGACCACAAGTGGAGGTACTTCAACTATTTCATGCAGCGGAGTCAAAAGAGTTTGGAGGAATTGGTCAAGTTCATGGGGGAAAATGAAGAACGAATCCGCGGATATTATGCAGAAACAATCAGCCTCAACAGTGACAAATTTTTGGAAATTATTCTTGTGGATGCTGCATTTATCATTGAAGTCCTATTGAGGTACTGGTTTGATGATTTAATAACTCCAAATGATCGGATATTTAGGAAACCGTGGATGATTAATGATATAAGCCAAGACTTGTTATTGCTTGAAAATCAACTTCCGTTTTTTGTAATCCAAGATCTTTTCGAAATGACCAATATAAACTTGGTCTTTAATGAAAATGAGACCTTGTCCTACCCCTTTATTTGTCTCACCCTTCATTGGTTTCTTAATTCAAACAAAATACAAGAACGTCCAGTTCTACAGGATATTAACCCCTTAGAAGTAAAACATTTTCTTGATTTGCTAAGAAGTTGTCTCGTACCAAGAAAAAGTTTGCGACATACTAAAGGGAAATTTGAATTTATACCAAGTGCAACAGAGCTTCATGAGGCTGGAGTGAAGTTTAAGGTAAGTTCAAGCAAAAGTTTATTTGACATAAAATTTAGCGGCAATGTTTTGGAAATCCCACAGAAAAAAATAAATGATTCGACAGAACGTTTGCTACGAAACATTATTGCCTATGAGCAATGTCATTGTAAAGTTAAGTTTGTGACTGATTACACCGTGATTTTGGTTTACCTTATCAACACTTCCAAGGATGTCGAGTTACTTGTTAAAGCCAAAGTTGTTGAGAACTGGCTAAGTGACAACAATGATGTGTCAAATCTCTTTAACAGACTTGGCAAAGAAGTTATCTTGGACACTAATGCATATTATTTTACTAAACTTCATAAAGAGTTAAATGACTACTATAAAATTCGTGGCCACAAGTGGAAGGCAACCTTGAGGCATAACTACTGCAATACTCCCTGGCAGGTCTTATCTATTTTTGTGGCTGCTATTCTCCTTGGACTCACCTTCATACAATCATTATGTTCTCTAGTAGAACAAAAAAAAAAAAAACAAAAAAAACAAAAAACAAAAATTTTGCAATTTGTTTTTCTTTTTTACTCATCTCCATCAACTAAAACCATTTTAACAAGTTTATCGCTGCCAAGCTTAATGCTTTCTTCAAAAAAATTGTGAACTCTTTCTTCCCAATCTTTTATCAATTTAACAACATTCTCTAACTCTTTTTTTTTTTTTTTTTTTGAACGGCAAAAAGAAGTTTTTATTGATGAAAACATACGGAGTATGAAAATTACATCAATAAAGAGGAGCTATGAGCTAGATCAAAGCTTCGACCTCCTAGTTGGTGTGAAACCAACAGAGCAAAAGAAAAGAAAACCAGTCCAGAAGAGAGCAAAATAAAACCAATCCAACAAAGCAGTCCTCAAGTGGCAACCGCTGCAAGCACTCAATCCTACAAAACTCTGAAGCAGCAAGAAAATAGCAGGCAAGGCAGATTATCCAGAAAAATGCAGAACTCAGACCAACCCCAACCAGATTTTAAGTCATCAGAAAAGCAGCAATCAGACCAATCTAAGACTAATGGATCAAATCAAATCAAAACACCAAGCGCAAAGGAATGAACACCCTGAAAGAACAAAGCAACTAAAACTCTGCTGCCTAGTACTGCAAACAAACCATCAAACCATGAAATCAAATCAAAACACCAAGCGCAAGAAAATAGCAGGCAAGGCAGATTATCCAGAAAAATGCAGAACTCAGACCAACCCCAACCAGATTTTAAGTCATCAGGAAAGCAGCAATCAGACCAACCTAAGACTAATGGATCAAATCAAATCAAAACACCAAGCGCAAAGGAATGAACACCCTGAAAGAACAAAGCAACTAAAACTCTGCTGCCTAGTACTGCAAACAAACCATCAACCTATTCAAAACAATAATTAGCAGTAGACCAGAGTGTAATCTGCTGTTTAGAGCTACAAACAATCCAACAGCCAGATCAGAACATCAAATAGTAGTAGATTAGAGAGCATAAGATCTGTGCAAAAAATACTGCTGCCATGCCATGAGCATTATCAACCAAAATACACCTCATGAACGAAGGCAATGCCTCACACCAGAAATATTGAAGAGAAGGTCTTAAATGGAGAAGTGGAATTCTTTGGAAGAGGACTTCAACCAGATAGCAAGCCATGTGATTATGAGTTCCTGCAACACCTGAATGTTTAGATGGGAGGCTTGAAACAAGCACTCTTTTCTGATCTTCCAGATGGATCAAAGAGTGACCAATGGTATGGCACGCTAGATTCTCCTCTCTTTTTTTCTGCAAATGTAACCTACCCACCACTGCAGCAGCTCCTCAACAGAACCAGAAACCACCCAAAGAGTTCCCCACCATTGTAACAACCCAGTCCAAATCCTCCAAACCATAGGGCAGTGAATCAGAACATGATGAATTATTTCCTGTTGTGTTTTACAGAAGAGGCAAGAGATAGAAGTCGACCTATCCAATACACCAATCCGTTGCAAGAATACAGATGTTTTAACCTTGTGTTTCCATGCGAGCCAACCAAAAAATTGCACTTTGGGTGGCAGGTAGTTTAGCCAAACCAAACTACTTGAACTAACAGTGTTACCAAAGGCAAGGTTAGAATGGTTATAAAGAGTGGATATAAGGGATTGACTAGGTTTCGATGCTAACCAAGCTGCACTGTCTTTTACACCCAGATTCAGAGAAGGAGATGCTGCTAAGATGACAAGAAGTCTGTGAAGCTCTTCCTTTTCCCATTCAAAAAGGGACCTCCTAAAGGTAAGCAACCGATTTTTAGCTGAGTTTGTCACAAAGTCCTTAAGCAGTCCCTCATTATTATTGGACAATTGAACAAGTTTGGGAAACCCATCTTTGAGGTAAAGAGCCCCATACCAATGATCATACCAAAACCTGATTCTATAGCCATTCCGAACTTTTAATTGTAAGTTACTAACATAGAACATTAAGAGAGACTCTTGCTGATTAGTTGCTGCCACAATGCCACCCTAATTTTTTGAGAAATTGTCGCTTGAGCTAAGGTTTGGAAGCCATGCCCCTCCTTGAAATTTGTATTTACTACCTATGACCCTCTTCCGTAAGGAATCATGATCAGAAGCAAACGTCCACCACCACTTGAGTAATAAGCACACATTCAGATCCCTTATTCTTTTGATGCCCAATCCTCATTGTTTTATGCTCTTTGTTACCTCTATCCATTTCACAAGATGTATTCTCCTCTTTAGATATAGGCCTCCCCATAAAAATGAAGCTTGAATTTTGTCTATCTCCTTAGCTATTCCTTCAGGTAACTTGAACAAAGACAAGTAAAATACTGGCAGACATGACAGCACTGCTTTCACCAAGCTCAATCTCCCTGCAAAAGAGAGAAACTTCCTTTTCCATCCAGCAAGCCTCCGTTTGAATTTTTCAAAAACTGGTTTCCACATCCTCTTCCTTCTGGGATTAGCATCCAGAGGCAATCCAAGGTACTTGAGTGGTAAACATTGAGTCTTGCAGTTTAGCAGGTATGCAAACTCATCAAAAGCAGTGACAGAAATACCAACCCCACAAACCACACTCTTATGATTGTTGATTTTGAGGCCTGATGCTACTTCAAAACACCTGAGGATCCTTTTCAAACTAAGGACTTCTGATAGCTCAGCTTCACAGAACAAAAGAGAGTCATCTGCAAATTGGAGATGGGAGAGCTGAACTTGATTATTCCTAATGATAACCCATTTGAGAAGATTCAACTCCCTAGCTCTTTGAAGAAGAATGTTTAGTGCTTCTACAACCAAGTTAAAGAGGAATGGGGATAGGAGATCACCTTGCCTAAGGCCTTTCTGAGGATTAAACTCCTTAGTTGGTGAACCATTAACAATGATTGAAATTCTTGTAGTAGTGACACATTCCTTGATCCATGAAATCCATTTGGATCCAAACCCAAAGTTTGCTAACATTGAGAAAAGGAAGTCCCAATTTATAGAGTCAAAAGCCTTTTCAAAATCTAACTTAAACAGCAGCCCTGATTTCTTGGATTTATGCCAGCCATCTATAACTTCATTTGCAACCAACACTCCATCCAAAATGTTTCTACCTCCCAGGAAAGCTGATTGTGAGTCACCAATAACCGTGGGCATAACTTTTTTGGGTCTGGATGTTAGGATTTTAGAGAGTATTTTGTACACAAAACCAACAAGGCTTATAGGTCTAAACTCATTTAAAGTGACAACTTTGTTCTTCTTTGGAATTAGAGTGATAAAGGTACTGTTAAAACCTGTTGCTAATTTACCACTAGTTTGGAATCCTTCATAACGTTAAGCATCTCCTCCTTAAGCATCTTCCAAGACTTTTGAATAAACATCAGATTAAATCCATCCGGCCTAGGAGCTTTGTTCCTATTACAATCTATTATAGCTGCCCAAATTTCTTCTTTAGTGAACTCTGCCTCAAGCATATGAAAGTATTCACTAAGCCTTACACTCTTGAAATCCCTGACAAGTATTGTTCGATTCTTCCAAGCTTTAGAGAAGTGATTTGAAAAGTGTGACCACACTGCATTTTTGACTTGATCTGGCTTCTCAAAAAAAACATCCCCCACTATGATGGAATTGAGAGAATTTCTATTTTGCCTACTAGTAGCATGACATGGAAAAATCTTGTATTCCTATCACCTTTGAAATTCCAATCTCGCCTAGACTTTTGAAGCCATTTCCATTCCAACTTCTTGCTCAACATCCACATTTAATTTATTTTCTCTCTTTGCTGCTTTATAGTTCTTCCTCCACCAAAGGTCTATTTTCAGCTTTCAAATCATACTGATGAAGCTCATATTCAGTAGCTTGCATTTTAGTTAAAACATCGCCATATACCTCTTTACTCCATTTTTTTTAAGCCAACTTGAGGGTATGCAACTTTCTTTGTAGGATGAAACCAGCAGACCCTGAGAATTGTAAATCCCTTCAAATTTGCTCCACAAAAGTTGCAAAATTCAAATGCAACATCCAAGCATTCAAGAACTTAAATGGATTAGGCCCCCAATCTCTAGCATCCTCCATGAGCACAATAGGGCAGTGATCAGTGATCGGATGTAATTCTAGGGAGACCCCATTGATTGAATTTAATTGAGGTATGTGTTGGAAAAAATAGTTTTTTGGTGACTTTAATTTAATATTAAAGTGTGGTGACTTTAATTAAATATTAAAGTGGGTCCCAACCATCTATTGTGTTGGGTCTAGGTGAGCCAAAAATCATTGAGAATTGAATAAGAAATTGCCAATAAATTGCCTCATGATGTTAGATTCATGAATGGGATTTTAAAGGGTATTTAAATCCTTTTTTCTTGGCTAAACGGTGTGAACCCATTGGGTATCCAAACTTTTCATCTTTCTGGAAAGGGGTTATGGATCTTGGTTAATGGGGCTTTAATGACCAGCCATAATGGCTGGAGGCTCTTCCTTTCTCCCCTATACATGTATAAATTAAGACCCTCCTGTCAAGTCTCAATACAGAAATTTTTGTTTCCATTTTACAAGTTAGTTTGCCAGAAAGTTCCTACAGTGAGAGAGTGTTGCCACGGTTTTTGTTCGCTAAGCTAGACAGAAAGTGCTTCTGTCGTAGTTGGTTTTGACCGTCGTATCCTGGGAGATAGACGCCGGGATTCCTCAAGCACTCGACCCGTGAGGCGGCAAAGTCTATTAAGGAAAATGCTACTATGGAGGTTTCGGTTTGGTTTCTTTACCATTTTATTGTTTTGTGTATTTCTGTTGAAATTTAGTTGTAATTATCAGTATATGTTCTTGGTATATAATTTTAATTTCTTCATAAATCTATTTATTTAATTTCACAATTTGGACAACAAGCTTAAAACAGATTTTTTATATATTTTCTATGAAATTGATCGAATAGATTTATATAGATAATTAGGTTAGCTTTGTATAATGTTACTAGGAACTGTGGCGGAATTGCTCACTGTTTCAATGATTGCAAATTATGCAATGTTATTCTCTAATTGCTTAGTTTAATTAGAATGCTCTATCATAATTTGCATACTTAATTGTAATAGTATGATCTTATTTTATGCGTATGGTTCATCATTCCCCTACCATGATTTGCATGAATTTTAAGGTTATAAAATATAATTTTGACGGATTTGGTTTCAAACCTTTGGAGTTTGAGGAAGTCATTGGGTTTAATCATTTTATTTCCAAAGTGTTGGAAAACCGTGTTTGGAGAAAGTCTTTGGTTATAATCTGATTATATCCAAAATGTTTTGGTTTTGAGAAAAGAAACCAAATTTTAGCATTAGCTAAAATATTTTTGATTTTATTCAGAAATAATGGGCTTAGTTCCGGGAGTACCGGTTAACTTTTATGAGTGGTGTAATTCTGGTAGCAAATTTTATTTGCTTGGGAATCGGTTTGTTATAACCTAGTTTATCCCCTGAAAATCTTAATTTTTAAATTGTTTCCTATGGACTAGGAGTCAATACGTTCTTGAATGTTTTGCCAAAAGGTTAACTGGGTTTTAAGTGGGACCGATGTGACCCCTCCAGTCTTCTTGGGAACATTCCTGACCATGTTCGATTCTAGGTTAAATGGTAAGACTAGTTTTGAATTAAATTTCCATCTGAGGGATTTTTTAAGGATTAAGTTTAATTTCTGGAATCACAGAAGTGAAATTCTGTTATGATGTTTCAGAAATGGCTTCAAAAGGTGACAAACAGAAATGTTGTTCCACCTGACAACCTTAGCCTCGCAAGATTCTTAAAGGAAGATCTTGAGAGATCGAGTATGATTAAGGAAATCATAAGATTGCATTAAAATATCTCTGAATTGATTAGAGGCAATTAGTATGGTATCCTTGTGTTATTTATAGAATTTATGATTGCTATGTGACTTTGCTTGAAAGCAAAGTTGAGACAACCTGTTATAGTAGGTGAATATTTTTTGGATTTTTAAATTTCAAATATATTCTTAAATTGGTGGCTCCTAGTGAGTATAAGATCACTGATCACAGAGATAGAAAATTGGTGGTTCCTAGGAGGTGTTAGACCACTGGTTACACATTTATGAGATTGTGATTCCTTATAGTGAACAGATTACTGATCACATGTCAAGACATCATGGTTCCTAGTAGTGGAGAGGCTACTGGTCATATGTCAAGACATGATGATTTCTAGTAATGAAAGAGTCTATTG